ATGAGGACAATAGTCCGAATAATGTAAATAGTGTACATAATACCTCATCTCAAAAATATAGACAGATACTGAAATGCCGAAACGTTGTAATAAATATGGCAACAAAGATGAGGACAACAGTCAGAATAATGTAAATAGTGAAACATTATTTATTTAAAATAAACAAATCTTAGGATTTAAAAATATTTTCTGGTTTTAAATAACCTGAAAAGGGTTGATAAGCTGTAAAAAACAAATGAATCAGTCAATCAATTGAATGCTTGCCAGAGATCTGTGCTTGAATATGTTTTTCCATTCTTATATACCCATGATTTTCAAATAGAGACTATTATTCTTTATTGAAGAGAACCCGCCCCAAAAATGCTATTTCAAGCCACCCCTTTTATTAAGAATTAAATATTCAATAACTTTAATCCTACCCTTTAATTTAGGTTCCGAGCATTTTAAAATAAAGTGTTTCGTCCAGAATTTAATCTACAATTAATCATTCGCCCTTGCATGGAGTATTGCTGCCATATATGGTCCGATACCCCCTTCTGTTTGTCTCAGGGTTCTTGATAAGATCCAGAGACGAATATGCAACGTAATTGGCCCTGATCTGGCATCTCAACTGCAGCCGATCTCTTACAGACGTGCGGTTGCCTCCCTCTGTCTTTTTTACAAATACTTTCACGGTAACTGCTCCGATGAGCTGCTTTCGGTTATTCCCAGACTTCATGAATTTAAGCGTTCTACTAGGCTGGCATCTCGCTCTCACCCTTTCACTGTAGAAACTTTTAAATGTAGCCGTCTCTTCTACTCATGTCTCGCCTGTGGAACTCCCTCCCCTTTTTTGTTTCCCGGATAACTATAACTTCCAACTATTCAAATGTAACGTCAATCGACGTCTCCAGATGCCCTGATCTATCCCCTATCCTTCTCTTCATGCTTTCTTCTATCACTCTTTGTACTCGCTCCTACTCTCTGTAAACCCTTGCGTGTTAGTGGCTTCCCGACTTGCTTGGGGTTAAAGTTTTAAAAAAAATTCTTTGAGATGTTTACTTACAAGTTTGTACTTTGCATGATTTAATGTCTACAGAAAATGTCTTTAATATGACGCAGTTTTCTATGTTTATATTTGCAACATCATCTTCTTCAAATATTTTCTTGCTGGCCAATCCACTTTCCATGTTTGTTATCTTTTTAAATATCCCAAATCTTTTATGTGACATTTATGAAGCCTGTCATGATCTTATCTTTTTCAGTTTAAATTTTGTTCTCTGTTCTTATTTCAATATCTTTTTTTTATATTATTTACATTATTCGGACTATTGTTCGCAACTTTGTCACCATATTTATTACAACGTTTCGGCCGTTGTACGCTCCGGCCTTCTTCAGGTGGTTGGAATGTCGAACTTAACCCTTTATTTCGCTCACTAGGGTAGACTCTTCTAGTTCCACGTGCTATGTTTAATGGATGCCAGTTGTCAGTTATCTCCTGTTAATTTCCCTCTGAAATTTCTCCACTGCCTTAACCGGGTATTGAACTCATACTCTTTGGGTCCTGTCACTGGATCTAACCAACGCCTTTATCCATTGTGTCATGTGTCTTTGAGGACATCTGTGTATGAATTTCTGGGTATTATAAACATGTCTTCAGCAACCATTTTTACCAGTGCTCATATTGCAATTTTTGCTGTTATCATTTCATGTTTTTAACAGAGCTCATATTGCAACTTTTGATGTTTTCTCTGGCACTCCATATTACTGGTCTCCATATGTATTCATTTCTATGCTTGGTCGGCTCAGGAGATTTTTGTGGCTTAGTATATGTGCAGATTCCTTAAGTTTACTGATAACTTAGATAACCGATAACTGACATCCATTAAACATGGCACGTGGAACTAGAATAGCATACTCCAGCGAACGAAATAAAGGGTTAAGTTCGACATTCCAAGCACCTGAAGAAGACAGGAGTGTATATATATATATATATTTATATATATATATATATATATATATATATATATATATATATATATATATATCAGTCAGTTATGCGCCATGCGTGATACACGCTTGGACGATCATGTATCTTTCAATACATTACTGACGAGGTAGATTTTTTTCCCACAGTAGGTAACTATTTCTTCCTGCAGTAGACCAGTTGCCATCCAAGGCTACAGAACCCGGCCTGTCCTGCTATTTACCCATAACTGAGGGGAGACGAAGAGGATTCATACGTTTCCTAAGGGTATTAGCACGTAAGTTAATGTAATGGATTCGATGAATTGAACTCGAAAACCGAGCCGATATATATATATATATATATATATATATATATATATATATATATATTTTCTGTTTATACGTTATTTTATAGATATAAATATTTAAGTAAATTATCTGTTTATAATAAAGAGCATTACTTATATTTATCAGGCTGAATGCCCGAGAAATTACATTTCATAGGAAATATGTATCCTCCGACAGTAATCGAAGCTGTAGCCTACACAGAACCGTCATATAGCCTGACGTGCTACACTATTTAGCTAGAGCGGAAGCGTCTGGTTAGCAAATTCAAATTACTCAATGCTAATTCCTGACCACTGACAGTTATTTTCATTTTAATAAACAAACAACGACAGATAATATCTTGGCGAAAAGAATATTCACTACCCTTATAGTCCTTTAATCTATTATGTATATAAGTGTACAGTTCTTGTTTCCATTTTCTTTCAAATTTTTTGCTTTTTCACATGTTAAATCCATGTTACGTTCAGCAGCCTTCTTTAGATCAACACCTCTATTATTTAGAATCGCTTATTCACGTGTTAGGGTTCCAGCTATGATTGACCTACCCCCAAACTGAACTCAAAAAACTATGACAGTATAAAAATACCAGCAATCGATTTGATTAGTAAAAAAAAAAAAAGCTTCTAAGAAAATTAAATTTCGGCATTAAATGACGTATAACGAGTTGATATGCCGTTAACCAAATAAATATGTTATTCATCTGTAAAGGAATTACTCGTTGCCGTTTTCATTATATTCAGCGCCATTTTGTAAGATAAATATATAGCACTCCAACATTCTTTTCTTTGTTTCTAACAAATTTTTCGTATTTCTTAATACTTCGCTTCTGGAAAACATCTTTCGCTAATCTAATGAAATTTCGGTTTTTCTGTGTCCCATTTTTCACTGATTATCACGAAACGAAGCAAATATTTAGAATGTCTGTACCTGGTTCATTTTGACATCTCTACTTCATAGCTCATAGCTTTGTCACTCTTGTCGGAGTTAACTCCTCCTTAATTGTCCAAATATTTCACTAGGGGTCGCTCTCCCTACACTATAAATACTGGGCGATTTCTTTTCTCGTTGTCTTTTCTACTTTGCATTTCAACGGACACATTTAAAAATGTGATCTCTCGCAGAAATCTGCGTTTACGTCCACTTGGTGGAAAACGCCCTAAAACCCACACACACGTACGTAAGAACATTCACCAAAATACAAACTCTTTACGTTCACACAGAAATACAAATGTTGATGCCTTTGTCACTTGTAAATTTGTTGTTTAATACATATATTTGTTGAAAAAAAAACATGATATGATATATATATATATATATATATATATATATATATATATATATATATATATATATATATAGGGGTCGTTTGGGGACCTTGTGGCACGTAGTGCACCAGGTCTCTGTAATCGGCCCTTCAAAAAAGTGTGGATGGTCCTGCACGAAACCTTCACCACTATAATCAAATCTCATGTGCTGTTTGTCGGGCTGTCGATTTCCTGGGAACTGATCTGTTTGACCTCATTCGACGGAAGAGTCGATATATATATATATATATATATATATATATATATATATATATATATATATCGGTCTTGTTTGTTTTCTTTACATCATCGGTTGGAGTCCGCCATGTTCTTGTATTTGGACCTTCTAGCAGGAAATAAACGGTACGTGTTCCTAATTCAACAACACTTAACCCACACGGTCATCTACAGTCCCTCTTGCCCTTTTCTCCGTTTTCCTTTACTACAGTGCCTAGTTCTTGCAGTTTACTTTCTCGGTGATATAATGAAATATGCATACATCTGAGTTCTCCCCCACTGGAATATGATTGGCTGGTGTCCGTCATAAATACAGACGGACGTGTAGGTACGACAGAGTTTAAGTCTATGACGCCACCCATTGGACTGCGCCATTGGCTATCCCATTGGTCTACACCTATTACCTGCGACTACGACGGGTACCAGTCGATTACTCCTACCGTGTACTACCCGGTTACAGTGGTCAAAACCACTTAGCTACTTCGATCAAATAGATCCCTTTCCGGGATATATCACTCGGTCTACTAGCAACATACCTTATGTTGTCAAGTTTATATCCACTAATAATAAATCACCGGAGGTCATCTTTTTCTCTAATGATCGTCTCGCTGGAAAGGTCATAACCGGTGTGAAGACGCATATTTGGTTTAAATTGTTTATTACTGAATTTTGTTCTAAAAAGACCAACTGTACTAGGAAACCATGAAAAAGCGAACTCAATATACTTACTACTGAGCTTCTCTTCCACACACACAGCCCTATTAATATCTGATATTTCTCCCTATTTATATAGTTACTGATGTATAATATTTGAAAACAATCAATAAAACCAGGACACAGAAAATATACGAAGGAATTACAAAATAATGTTTATTCATCAAAGCCTCAAAATATAAAGTTTTCTTTGCTTAAAATTAAGCTAGCAGTGAAGGTGTTCACTATGATCTTGTCGTACTTTCCGTTGTATAATTAATAACCGCGCTAAAACATTGCGTCAAAACGTAATCTGATCAGCTTGAGGCACTGACAAAAATGGAGGAAGATTGGTTGGGGGATAGCCAAATTGGAAGCTGAGGAGGCGGCAACGGCGTGGATTATAATCTGAGAGGCTTTAATCAAATTCCAACAAGTAACTCCAACTAAAGGCCGGTCTTTTCTATTCCCTTACGCTTGTCCTCGTCCGTCTAAATATGAAGAGGTGCTCTCCTTACTCTGTCTTTTATTTGCCTTGGTTGAGGGGCGGAAGAGAGAGAGAAAGAAAGGTGGAAAATGCCCTAACATACACATAAACTGAAAGGTTATAGGAACATATGCACGCACCTAAACTGTTATAGATAGATAGATAGATAGATAGATAGATAGATAGATAGATAGATAATCTATCTATCTATCTATCTATCTATCTATCTATCTATGTTTTCCTGTTCATATCTGTTTCTGTCATATCTATCTATCTATCTATCTATCTATAGATAAGAACAGGAAACAGATATGAACAGGAATAGATAGATAGATAGATAGATAGATAGATAGATAGATAGATAGATAGATACGAACAGGAAACAGATATGAACAGGAAAACATAGATAGATAGATAGATAGATAGATAGATAGGAACAGGAAACAGATATGAACAGGATAACATAGATAGATAGATAGATAGATAGATAGATAGATAGATAGGAACAGAGACTGAGATAGATATGAATAGGAAAACATAGATAGATAGATAGATAGATAGATAGATAGAGAGGAACAGAGACTGAGATAGATATGAACAGGAAAACATAGATAGATAGATAGATAGATAGATAGATAGATAGATAGATAGATAGATTGAATGATTGACTGATTTTAGGAGGGGGAGGGAAATGTGGGGAATGAATGCAGGAGCTGGTATATGGCTAAGAAAGGATAAAAAAAACATACGTTCGGCTATCCGGCTAAATTTTCGGTAGGGCTCGTACCGAGAACGTTTTGACACTTACTTGTGGGCGGCTAAGTCGTATGTGAGAATGATGAGGAAATAGGCGGAGATAAAAGCACTGAAAATAATAAATATACACAAAGAGAGAGTTTCAGAGAAGAAAGAAAGGAAAAAGAAAGGAGGAAAGAAAGGAAAAAGAAAGGAGGAAAGAAAGGAAAAAGAAAGGAGGAAAGAAAGGAAAAGAAAGGAGGAAAGAAAGAAAAAAGAAAGGAGGAAAGAAAGAAAAAAGAAAGGAGGAAAGAAAGGAAAATGAAAGGAGGAAAGAAAGAAAAAAGAAAGGAGGAAAGAAAGGAAAAAGAAAGGAGGAAAGAAAGGAAAAAATTGATACAGAGAGAGAGAATGCGTGTGTGTGTGTGAGAGAAAAAACAATGGTGAGATAGAAAAGGTAGATAATGAAATGCGGAGTAGTGTGAGTGTGATACCTGACGGAACGAAAGAGAAAATGTGAGAAGTGGAATATAGAGAGAGTGAGGGGGAAGATATCATGGAGAAATAACAGAGAGACACATATGCGAATGTTGAGAGGAAGGAAGGATCCAAGTGTAAGGAAAAGGAAATAAAAGGATATAAAGAAAAGAAAAGCAAAAGAGAAGACAGCGAAGATAAGTTACACAAGAGATCATAAAGGAAAGAAAGAAAGAATGAAAGAAAGAAAAGAAAGAAAGAATGAAAGAAAGAAAAGAAATGAAAAAGGTAAAGAGAATGGAAGAAAAATATTGAAAATACAGGAAAAAAGAAAAGAAATAAAGATAAGAAAACTAAAGAGAAAGAAAGCGAAAACAAGTTACTTAAGAGTTTCATAAAAGAAAGAAAAAAAGAAAGAAAGAAAGAAAGAAAGAAAGAAAGAAAGAAAGAAAGAAAATATTTAAAAGGAGAGAAAGGAAAAAATAATTACCTAAGAGTTCTTAAAAGAAAGAAAGAAAGAAAACGTAAGAAAGAAAGAAAGAAAGAAAGAAAGAAAGAAAGAAAAATATTTAAAAGGACAGAATGGAAAAAAAGAATTACATAAGATTTCATAACAGAAAGAAAGAAAAGAAAAATTCATAAAGAAAGAAAGAGATAGAGAGAGAAAGAGAGAAAGAAAGAAAGAAAGAAAGAAAGAAAGAAAGAAAGAAAGAAAATATTTAAAAGGAGAGAAAGGAAAAAATAATTACCTAAGAGTTCTTAAAAGAAAGAAAGAAAGAAAACGTAAGAAAGAAAGAAAGAAAGAAAGAAAGAAAGAAAGAAAGAAAGAATTTAAAAGGACAGAATGGAAAAAAGAAAAGGATAAGATTTCATAAAAAAAGAAAGAAAATAAAATTTCATAAAGAAAGAAAGAAAAGAAAGAAATAAAGAAAGAAAGAAAGAAAGAAAGAAAGAAAGAAAGAAAGAAAGAAAGAAAGAAAGAGTAAAAATAAAGAAAGCAAGAAAATTATTTAAAAGTACTGAAAGGAAAAAAAAAAGAATTTAAAAGAAAATAAATAAAAGAGAAAAGGAGAAGTAAAGAAAGCGAAAACAAGTTACCTAAGAGTTGATAACGGAAAGAAAGAAAGAAAGAAAGAAAGAAAGAAAGAATTTTAATTGGACAGAACAGAGGGAAAAAGCGACAGAAACGCAGTCTCTTCAATTACTAAATTATAAGAAACAGAAGTAGAAAGAAAATAAGAGATGAGAGCGGGAGAATATATATATATATATATATATATATATATATATATATATATATATATATATAAGAATTTGATATCGACCGAGAAGGAGATGCGGACATCGATCTGGACGATTCAATAACCAAATTATAGGCCTTTTATCTACTGGTCGCCAAACAAACAAATCGATGGTCTCTGATAAATGAACCTCCGTTTGATTTGAACCCTGTCAATAATCATAAGGCATTGCCTTGACTATTCATTATCTGACCTATCATCATTAACATCCTAATTACTTACAGATTGGACACTTATCAAATACAATATAAAAAAAACACACACTCGATAATCATAATACCAGCCAAAATCCACTTTTCAAACTCGCCTGCTGCAACTCTTTCTTCTCACACTCCTTTCCTAACTTCAGCCACCACGATAATTTTGAGTTTCAAAATGGTGTCAACACCATTAGCAAATAGACCGTAGTAATTTTTTTCTAATCTGGTGATCCATATATGTGTCCTTGCGCTAAAGTAAGCCAAGTTTAGTAAATGTCAATATCAGCTATGCAATAGATAAAACCCCAAAATGCGGTGTGCAGACTGTTGTGAATCGTTAGTTTACGTCCCTGGGGGTCGTCGTCTTAATAGTGCGGCAGACGAAATGCAAGTCTTTAGATTTTGTTTAATTAGACGTTGAATATGGAACGACTTTCCTTTCCTCCGTTTCGTCACATCCTCATCGATCGCTCAAATTTCACTTGTTTTTTTAAAACCAAACTAGCATTACTCTTTCTGACTGACAAAGAACTATTCCTCTTTTAACTCGTTGATTTTGAAGACGCATGGCCGTATTACGCATCCACACGACTGATTTACTTGACTCTGATTATGTGGTCAGCTGGTCGCTCATTTGGATGTTCAGCCATGTTTTCTACTTATCCTTACCAAATGACGCACTTCGCTTTCACTGAAGTAATTTTATTATTGCCTCGTATTTTATGAAACCAAACTTGGCTACGGAGACTTACTTGCGATAAACATGTAATCGGTTTGGTTTGGTTTGTTGTGTTTTATAGCATATCAACCACAATGGGTTATTTAATGCCGACAAAGTTTTTAGTGCTGTTAATATTTTGTTTTATCAAAAATCTATTTCTGGTAATAACATTTTTTTTCAAAAAATGTATTGCTGGTAATAGTTTTTATCTTCAAACCTTTATTGCTGATAATAATTATTTTACAAAGTATTTCTGGTATTAAAACCAATTTTTATTGTGTTTTGACCCCAGTTTGGGGTTTAACTATTTGCCCATAGCTGGGACCCTAACAGGTGTTACCACCCGGGGCCAGTGTAGACTTTGGGACACCAACAATAAATAGGTGGTTCCACGCTCCTCAAAACCTCCTGATCAGAGGCCTTGCTGCTGGACGTAGTTTATCGTCTTACCCAGGACACGGGTGTAGTTTATCATCATACTCAGGACGCACATGTAATCGGAGAGACAATAATAGATATGATGGGACATTCGTCGCTTATATATATATATATATATATATATATATATATATATGAAGAAAGTCATAATAAACTCGTGGTAAATTGATAGATATATTCGGCCTTTTATACATCTATGAAAGGTTATCGTATCCTCAATTGATATAAATCAGCTTAAAACTTAACTTAAGATACGGAGGGAAATATATTTTATTAACAAATTTAACTTGTTTTCTCTCGGCTGACAATCCGATAAGAACAATCTTGTCATGCTGTGTCAGAATTGCTGTATCAACCTGCCGGTCAAATACAAGATTTTCTCTTAGACAGGATTATCCTATTCCTTAATCTCTGAATCATGTTCAGTTGTTTACAAATCCTAAATAACTTTCTATCTTCTTCCTTAACCCTCTCCCTCTTTCTCTCTCTCTCTCTCTCTCTCTCTCTCTATATATATATATATATATATATATATATATATATATGAACATTGAAATCAACACGACAGACTGTTTCATGTTAGAATGATGATTGCGTCTAACAAGAAACAGTTTGTCACCTTTGAGTGTTGACTTCTATGTTCACTTTTATATTTACACACGCTCTATCTCTGATATTGAGCACTTTTATCCCATAAATATAGCACACCTTATATATATATATATATATATATATATATATATATATATATATATATATATATATAATATATATACCATGAGACCTGGGTTCGAATCTCAGCATGGTCGATTTATCAGGAAGGAGGCTTGCTGATGTTAGGGAGAGGTCGATCCCAGCATGATGCACGTTTGGAAAATGCCTGAAAACTATAGCACGGGTTGATTGTGAGTGAAATTGGGTAGACGGAACCATTCTAGCACGAAGCCGTAAGTCATCGTGGCCGAGGGCTTGAGCGTGCTGTCCTTGTTCAAATTGTTGATCACGCTAGATAACACGCTCACAGTTGGGCTCCGTGGGTGTTGAATGAACACAATTAGTAGACGGGTATCCACGAATACGAGTGGCCAGCTATACTACATACACACACACGTATATATATATATATATATATATATATCTTTAGCGATGGAGCATGTATATGAGTTCCATGTGAAGGTTGCAGTGAGCATGAAACAAACTGTATATATATATAAGTAGAAATTGAGATCAACACCCAGAAGCGACAATTTGTTTCATGCTCATACAGCCTTCACACGGAACTCATATACATGCTCCATCTTTAGAAAATGGTTGGTTCCTTATACCACTCTATTCTTTACAAGTGTCAATTCTGACCCCCAAAAAAGTATAAATGCTAGATATAGGCTGAAGCTGTACAGTCCTCTCTTTCCAGCCTTGACATACTTCAAAAGTGTCTTCACAGCCTTGTGGTTGATGAGATATTTCCATGCTAGAAAACCCTTTACCACTGACGATACAACGCAAGCCTATCGCTACTCTGTCGCAATTTCCATGGTTCCACTAGGTCAGATATTTACATGCCATGCCGTGTACTCAGAATCTAATTATCTTCATTCCATTCACATGTCATTAGTAAAAAGAAATTTCTATAAGAAACGATTCTTCACTGCCCATAGAACAGGCTCCTGAAAAGATTCTTCCCCGACAACTACAATCTTAACTTCCTCAATTCAAGTGTCAGCCGTTATATAATGTTCATAATCTGAATGTTTTACAGCCTCCTCTTAGGATTACCAACAGCGGCAACAGCTTAAAAATTTAGCACTAATAATTAATAATGGAGAGTGCGGTAAAAACTGTTGGACATGAGAAACCTGTATTTGTGAAAAAAAATTTTTAAGAGAAAGCTTTTATAAATTTCAAGCAAAAACAGTACTGTTCGCTTGGTTAATGGATACCAAATGTTTTCTTGGAAAGAAACAACTAATATTACACTAGTCAACACGATTTTTGTTGCCAAGAAAAAAAAAACATTTTTTTAGCTTATTTATGGTACTGATTCCAAAAATGTCTTTAGTTTTTTATGGTTAGCTACAGTTTTTGCTTTACTGAAATTGCTCACTTTTGGGAAACAAAAGCGCAATTTACGATATTGGCTGATCGCAAAATTTAGTTAATAAAGGTCGTAGAAACCCATCAATTTTCAGGAAGGCAGAGTAATTTAGGTCAGCCACCTGAAATAAACTATTTTTAAAAGAAAAAAGTGTTTTTGTGTCAAAGATTTTAAAATAGATGTACAGAAGTTTTCCAATTTATCGCCAAAATTCAAATTAACTGATGAAGCTTATCAGTAAAATACTTTAGTAAGCCTAATAATTAAGGTGACATCAAAAAACGTAACGCTAAAATCTTCTGTTTGATATTCATAAATTTATCCCATCACTTTTATTTCATCACTACGGAAGGAAACCAAGCACATTGAGAGCATTTTGGTTTCACAGAAACTCCAACTAAAAGACATCCCAATTGAATGCACCTATTCCATTGTACATGATACTGCTGGAATATCAAAAGGGACTTAAATAAACATGACAGACAATAAAGAAAGAGAAAATATTTACCATAGTTCTTATGTTCATGAAGGTTTCATTTCTACTGTTAGTTTATTAAATGATTACATGAAAATACTTGTTGGTCTTGGTATATTCAATCGTGCTATCTTTAATGACTTAGGGTCTGATTGTTATTGCTAAAATAGTAATTCTTAATATTTGTCGGTTTAACTACAAATTGGTAGGTTTTTACGATTTTATTTTGAGAAATATTGCCATCGGTCAATATCATATATACAGAAAACAAATGAAAGTGTTTTGTTTTTTTTTCCAAAAATGAGACACTTCTGTAAAGCAAAAAGGTCATTTTGGGATTTAGTGTTACCCTTATTAACAAAAAATTCAGCTAGTTCTCGAAACCATTTTACTTTTTTTAGGTTGACCAGTGTTAAAAGCTTGATTAAAAGTCATTTTTTTCAGTGGCCAGTTCAATTACTCAGTCAGAGCTAGTGGTCAACGTCAGATACACTCAGTTGAAGAAACGGGCAAACGACCTAAATGGTAATAAGACTGGATAATATGAACTGATAGGAAATACAGACTAAGCATGGAAATCGAACTGAGAATGACATTCCGTGGAGCCAATAAAAGCACGATTCTCTATTCAAAGCAGATTAAGGAATGCGAAGACAGAAATCTAAAGAACGATGAAATATGAGAAACGTGTTGATCTGAATGTCAAGGCCAGTGTTTCCTAATATCATATATACAGAAAACAAATGAAACAAAAATTTCTTTTCAAAAATGAGTCATTTCTGTCCAGCAAAAACGGTAGCTAACCAAGAAAAAGTAAGCGCCCTCAAATTAGCAAAAATAAAGACGTTTAGTGTCTCGACATCATTTCATTTTTTTTTTTGACCATTTCTTTTAATCCTATGCCATGAAATTCAGAATGTATGCACTAATGACCCTCTACAGATACCATTTTCTTATAATAGCTGCATAAACTACTAATTTTGAGAAATATTGCTTTCGGTCAATATTATATATACAAAAATCTAATGAAAAATGCTTCAAGAAAGAGAAAAGTCATTTTCAGATTCAGCGCCCTCAAATTAGCTAAAAATGATGTTTGATATCTCGACACCATTTCATATTTTGTTTGTTTGTTTGTTAACCAGTGTTATCATTACCATCACTATTCAACCCATAAAACAAACCTGATTCAGTAACCCTCTGTCGTGTTACTCTTGGGACTTTTGTGGGTAAACACTATCTTGACAAGGTCTTTTTAATATCTGAACAACGTATTTTTTAATATCTGAACAACGTCTTCTTTAATATCTGGACAACTCAAATATCTCACTATAATTGCTTTTTTAGGGTAACACGTTAATGAATACACACAGAAACAGAAATCGTTTATAACATGTCACTTTACCATTGTTTATTTTGATTAGACAAAGTTTTTTGCAAATAAAATGCCTGCAAAATATTTTTACTAATTGTTATTGTCTTCATGATTGTCTTTTTAGTTCGCCTTGAATCTCGAAGTGGCATCAATGCAGGTATCGTCATGATACGGCTCAAAGAAGAGTGGATCATGGTCTGTGACAAGAACTGGGATGACCTGGACGCGAAGGTCACCTGCCAGCAATTGGGTTTCGTCGACGGCCGGGCCGAATGCTGCTCAACCCTTGGAAACATCGATTCCCACGCCAATTCCATCGTGAAGAATTTCAACTGCACGGGCAAAGAGAAACTCTTACAGAACTGCTCTTTTACAACCCATGCATGGGAGAGTTGCTATGAGGCTGCAGCGTCAGTCATTTGCTACGACACGAGTCTGGATAAAGTCAATAACTGTGAGTATCAGTCTTCTTTTATTTGTCGTGTAATATCATAGCTCTCCACAGCATCCATTGTAGCTGTAACCAATTTCTGATCGTTTGCCGGTCCCTCTCTCTCTATCCATTTGCCCAAACTCGTTGGCTCGATGTTTTCCCTTTGCACCTTTTAGCCTCAATATGCCTTATAAAAGCCAAATTATATAAGCCTTCTTTCCTCATTATTTCACCGGTCTTTTTTCTAATTCTAGGTAGACGTCACCTTTTTATTCCCATTTCTCATAAAACTTTCTCATTGTTCCCATGTTTCGTCTGAATGCTACTCAACTCTTGGCAACATCAATTATTTAGCACAGACGTTTCACCAATCTCTTTCTGATTATTACCAAGGTAGAGGCTTCCTGTCATTTCTAATAAAACTTCCTCATTGCTCCCATGTTGCGTCCGTGGTGAACCACTCCCATTCCCTTTGTATCCAATTGTCTATTCTACAATAAGTACCTAATTTTTATATTGCTTTGGCGCCAGGCCAACGGGAACCGAATATATCCGGACTCGAAATTTCTATTAGGGGGGAAAGCAAAAAGTCCCTCCCCGATGTAGCATTTCGCTTTGTATTGAAAACATCGACAAATTACTGGATAAATTTAATACCTGTGCTAAGTGTACTTTCCAAATTGCATTGCCCAAATTCATCTGGTAACCTTCACATTGAACTTTGCTAAATGACGAATACCAAACTGCATTTTAAATCTTTTAAAATGACTAAATTTTTGTAATAATAATAATAATAATAATAATAAATGCTCTGATGCGACACTAGCCATGGCTCTTATGGCTTATTGCCTTAATTGATTGGATGTGTTGAAAATGCACCTGTTTTGTCTTGGTGAATTAATATGACCTACAGTAAATATCACGTTCAGTACCATAGATTTCCTCGTCAGTCGTCTAACCATGACCAGTTAAATATGTCCCTTTAGGAGTTGATGGACTTTGTATCTTGTCTAGGTGAATTATGTTGGGCTAGAATAAATATACAATTCAGTACGACAAATTTCCTTGTCAGTTGTCTGGCCATAGCAATTTAGGCAGGTTCTGCATGAAAGTGTTCATCTCCGTTCATGGAATTTGGTAGTAGGGAATCCCATTTCCGCCAGTTTGGTCTTTAAGACCATATAGATCTTTACCAATTCTACCGTTGTGTTCTTCGGGGGTTGGCCGCATTCAGTTTAGTCCCTCGATCTTACTTCGCTCTTGGGTGGTAGAGAAGCATCATAGCCCGGCGTCGAAAGTGGTTTTTTTTTTAGGGATGAGGCGGCAATGGCGACTTGGGAGTCATATTTAGATATTGGAAATACCATCAATTGGAGATCACCTCAGTGAGTTAGTTTATACGATCTGTAGTTATTTCTAACGGAACCTCTACTGAAAGCTTTATGTGCTGCCTTTATTCAATGGCTGTCACTATATCGCTCACATTTGTTTATGATACTTGATTTAATTAATTCGTTTTTTACGGCTTATCAACACTTTGTAGAATATTTAAAGTAAAGAAAATATTTTCTGATTATAAGAAAAAAATTTTTGAGATAATAATGATTTAGCGATACAAGTTTTACTAATTAACCCATAGCTGGGGAGAGAAGAGGTGGACTCATATCTTTTCTCAAGGAAATTTGTCTGTAAGTAAATATAATGAACCCAATTGGAAATGAGACTCGGCTTTCCGATTAACAATTCCGAGCAGTTATTCATTATACTACCCACTTGTAGTTACTAAAATGTTATACTTTACTTTAAAAATACAAAAATATATCATTTTCAGGTGTTTTTTTAAAGAAATGCAGGTGGCCTCAAACTTTTTGCCTGTTGTGTAGTTGCTAAATGTATGCCTCTTCGCCGCCATTTTGATCTTGATCGTATAGTGTATAATACTCTGCAATACAGATTAAGCGAAAATGTCACCTACAACACATAATATAATAAAAAGGCGTCACAGAACATGTCATATTAGACACCTCTACATGTCTTCGCTGGTTTTGAAATAGCATTAAGCGCTAGTTAGTTTCCAACACAAACTCTGCGGACCGACATTTTTTACAGCATCTTGAAAATGTATATATACTTAGGCAGCAGGCAGCAGTTAATATAAGTTTCGGAAAGACTTAAAAAGTTCGTCTAGTGCAGCGAAAGTCTGAATCAACTTTCTCAAACGAAAATACGATTGGTGATTAAGTTAAAGTATTATAAACAAAGAAAAAAGACTTTTCCTGGCTACAGTTTACCGTAATTCCTCATATATAATACGTCTTCATTCATAATACGCACCCCTAAAATTGTGCTGAAAGTATGGGAAAATGCTTCTACTCACGTATAATACGCACCCCTTGTTTGGTAAACAAACCCTAAAAATTGTACTTCTCGAATTTCATTAAGACCAGTGTTTCTTACTCTTATTAAAAAATCATTTTAAACATAATATAATATTATTCTAATTTAGTTTTATAATTCTTATTTTATTTTACATTTGTAAATATTGTTAGATTCATGTGATTATATTTGATATTCTTATGGGGTCGAAATCGCCGAATGTCAGTATCAAATTGTCGTATGTTTGTATAGAGTAGTCATTTCCCAACTAAAAACGACCTATGAAACGGAATTTTTTAAAGACTTTTTCTAGCTGTGCATAATACGCATTCCTAATTTTGCTTATTATTTTTTAGAAAAAAATGCTTATTATACATGGGGAATTACGGTAAACTGATACCTTTTTCTTTTTCTATATATTGGGGCTATTTTGCTTAAAGGTCATAAATTTCTAAATCCCTGGTGAAAATTTTGAAGCTTTCTCAACAGATTTCAGTGAAATTTCTCGTCTGCAAAATTATAGTTTAGAAACAGAGCCAGAAATATGTCAGTTTAAAATGATGACAAGAAACGAGTAATTTGATTCATTTGTCTTCGGATATTAACAGTAAATGCTATAATTCGGAAGTGAATTCTTTTCCACTTGAAAAATAGAGAGGCTAAAAACTAATTTGTTGATGAGAAGAGGCAAAAATAAGGGGAAAAAATAAACGAGTCAAAAGACAGATTTTTTGAAAATGGTTTACATTTCTCAAAGCAATAAATAAAAAATGGATAAAGGAAAATGGCGTGCAGGAATTATAGGGTGTGGATTGTGTTTGGGTGAAGTAGGTTTTGAAAATTCGTTCTTTGCATAGATATTTCTTATCTGAAATCTTATCGGAAAAAGTAGGATCAATATTTTCCGCAGGTTATACTGTTAAACAAAAAAAAATGTTGAAACCAATACTTTTTCTGGCTTTGTGCCAAATTTTGCATTAAAAATATTTCGGAAAAATGTTTTAGCGTCCAAGAACTGTTTTATATACCAACCATGAGGCAAGTGAGAATGGTAATTATTTATTTTTAAAAAAAGTGTCCATCATTGATTGAGCGAATGTATCTTTTTTTCACGCATAGTTTGTAACAACACAACCAAAAAAATATTTTTCTTCGTTAATTTGCAACTTAAAATTCCTTCGTTAAATAGGACTATATGTTTCTTAATGATTCTCAACAGAGGGCGTTATCAAGGGAACGTAGCCGCGTGGTTAGAACGTTCGCTTTCGGGCCATGATACCCGAGTTCGAATATCACCACAGTTGATTTTTCAGGAAGAAAACTTCCTCATGTTAACGGACAGCGTGCAGCATCTTCAGAAAGTGACCGAAACGAGCCTGTGATAGACAGAACCCTGGGGAGCCGTCGAGAGCTTTGCTAGCACGAATACACAAGTCATCGTGTCCGAGAGATTGAGCGTGCTGGCCTTGTTCAAATTTTTGATCACGCTGGATAAAACGCTCTTTCCCGGAAACTGTAACTAAGGTCTGCTCAACATAGTTGCAGTATAAACCACAGTTCTGAATAAATACAAATGCGCCTGAGCAAGCGTCTGCCATAGGAATTGCCTAGACGCCCTAGTAGAAAGGTATCCTCGAATACGAGTGACCAACTATACTTATACAGACGACTAGGTAAGAATTTTCAATCTTTGTAAGCCAAATGACAAGTTTAATGACATTAATCACAAATTTCCTTGGTTAAAGTTGGTGTAATTTTGGAATCTGCCAATGGAGAGAGAAAAGACCATATCTGCCTTTATTAAATTAATTCAAAGTAATTGAACTTGAAGCATAAAAAAAGTTGGAACAAATCCGTATACATACCGTTCTCTTATAACTCGATCAGCAGACCAAGCATAGACGTTAAAAGATTGTGCAAACGCCACTCGATGAACTTTGGGTTTCAAGTGAGCATAGAAATCAGAAAACAACGCCAGCACTACACCGTAGATGTGTGTAAAAAGGGATGCGCTGTCTGTCCAAGATTCAATGATATTACAAAACATTACACCTGTTGAAGATCAGAGGGTATGCAGCCAAAAATGTTGTTTAAAATAAACATAGAAATTATTCCGAATTAAACAGAAAAAAATCAACTTCATGCCATTATGAATTTATTCAGTTACCAACAAAAAATTCGCCAGAGAAAGGAAACATGATGAAAAAGAGAATATTCAGAATATTTTAAAGCATTCTCTAAATCTAAATTTGAAAACTTAAAGTTACATTAGTTTTATCCACGTATAAATACATTAAAAAATTAAACACATGCCATGAGTAAGTTCCTCATGGAACGAAACGCGTTGGAATAAACGTTTTTTGATTTCTCTCTCTCTCTCTCTCTCTCTCTATATATATATATATATATATATATATATATATATATATATATATATATATAAGTGAACATAGAAGTCAACACTTTAGAGGCGACTTCTATGTTCACTTTATATTTTACACACGCTCTATCTCTGATATTGAGCACTTTATCCCATAAATATAGCACATCTTAAAACTATATTTCTTCATATATATATATATATATATATATATATATATATATATATATATATATTAAAAGAAAAAACAACTACGTTGGTATAACGAACAGACATCTTACCAAAAGATTCAACCTCTTAATCATGAGAAAATCTTGAACAAGGAAAGAAAAATTAACAGACTGAAAGGTAAACACCTATCTATTCATTAAAGGAAAGTGCTCCTATAATTTTTTAACTGCTTTCTTAGACTGCTCCTCCATCTTCTAGATTAACTAGATAGAGTAAAAGAACGCTTTACTCTCATCGAAGGACACCCTGAATCGTTACTCAAGTTTCACGCTCATGCGATCTTCAGGCGACTATTACGCAAATGAAATAAGAGAGGTCCAGATTTATATGCCCATGACCGCTACATGCCTATCCTAAAGTATCACTGGAACAATAAAGCAAAATAAAACCATGGCTAACTTCTACCTCATGGGTGTAAACGACCTATGCGCAAAGCACCAACTAGTCAGATGACAGGTGACACGATGTGGCCTGACGATTGCGTTGAGGCAGTCGACACGCAGGGCAAAGTTTCGTCCGGGGAGGTAGACAGATCCCGAACCCGCTTATGTGAGTTCTAACGGATTTATTTTTGGCCGAGCCTACGGGCTCGGGAATAACCCACGTTAAAATCGGCCTTGTGCCACATACATTCCTCATGGAGGGACTGTTAAATATCGGCAGGTGACACAATAAGTACTTTATATAATGCCTAGATCTTGTAATTAACTCTGATTTCTTTTTAATTTGCCATTCTGTTATCGCTGTTAACTTAGGTTCCTAAACTTTTCTTCAAGACGAAGACTATCCTATCCTTCGTATCTGTACATCTACTACTTCTTTTATAAACTTTCCAATTAATTATTTTTGTGGGGGGGGGAGTTACGTACTTCTCCTTAAATAATACGCTGACAACTTTGTAGCATTTCCTTATTTACAGTCTTTAAAAATTAACTTATGAAAATAATACCCTTGTTTTCCATTGATAAGACAAATCGAGTTCTCCCAGTCACTGACGTGTTTGTCTAAAAATAAAAAAAATAGGTCCAAAATTCGCCTTTATCCCTGCCGTGCGCCAATGGCTTAGGGACAGACTCTCCAACTGATATCAAGTAAGTCGGGTTTTGATACCGGCTTGAGGCAATCGGATGTCTAGCCACACTGATGAGCTGCGAAACAGTCTGTCTCTGGATGACAATATATATATATATATATATATATATATATATATATATATAGGCAGTAGAGAAAGAACTACTTGGTAGTTGAAAGGTTTTCATAATTTTCGATGTTCATAGTGGTGTATTTTAAAGAAAGCCAGACTCATCGCTTTTCTAAATTTGGCGCAACTCAATTTTTTAACTGCTTTCTTAGACTGATGATTAAAAATGGCTGCGAGAGTGTGACCCCTGTAAGCCTCAATGAGGACCATACTTCATCAAACCTCGTGGACTGGCGCTACAAAATCACAAAGAACTCTACCAAATAATAGAGACGGCATCACTTGAAGACTTTCAATAGCTGCAACAACTAAAACTGATATCACGTGTCACCCAAAGAAAGAACAATATAATCAAAATTCAAACGTTCCACACTATTTGAAAAAAAAATGGCAACGAATACAGCCCCCCCCCATCAATACTGGACAGCGCAAAACTACGTTTCTTTTAAATGTTGTGTCTGTTGGCGATCATGGCTCTCCAAAATTTACTGTCCTTTGTAGCTTTTCATAAATTCCGCCTTTATTTATCTTTCATAAATTCTGATCTACCATCCATTTTTACAAGCTCGCTAGATAAGTTATGTATTGTTTTCATCTGCACCCTTTACTGCAATATATCCTATGAATATCAAACTTTGCAAGCCCTCTCTCTTCATTAGGTGACCAAGAAATTTCAACTGTATTGGACCTGATTAATCTATTTTCCTGAAAAATTATTTTAAAAGAAAGTTTTTATAAATTTCAAGTAAACGTATCACCGATTACTCGGTCAATGTATACCGATTCTTTCCGTATAGCGAAACGGCTAATAACAGAGCTAAAGAGAATATGTACTAAACTGTGATGTCCAGAGAGTGAAGAAAAGCGTAACCCGAGGAAAACGGGCTGTTCGGTTAATGATTTCGACATGTTTCCATACCAGAAAACGGATAATATGACCATTAAAATTAGAAATAATTTGAACATATACTACACTTTGATCCCAACCAGATTTCTCAGATCAATGGTTAAATATGGCTTTAAGCGAATTAAGCCGATGGGTCTTGGCGCAGATTATCCTTTCTCGAACATTGCGTACTGGCGCTACATAATCATAAAAACAGAACCGTATCAAATAAGAGAAACCACATCATTTGAGTACCGCCAACAGCTAAAAGAAAATAATGACATAATCAAGGTGCTGACATTCCAAACTACTTCAAACAAAAGGTTAGGAAGGAAACCCCTCACCAATGCTAGAAAGAGCGATAACAGATACTGGACATGACAAAGCTATTTTGTGGAAAAAATTGTTTTAAGAGAAATGTTATAAATTTCAACTCCTTGGTCAAAGTATGCCGAATGTTTCCTTATAAAGAAACGGTTAATATTACCATTACCATTCCCATTGCCTTGCTTATATGATTCGAATGTAATCACGTGATCCAAAAGCCCGCATCTACGAACACAAGGGAGACTTGCGTTTGGACAAACATTCTAACTCTCACAGCATCTTGTCAGTCGTTTTCAACGAAACTTGAATTTTTTATATAACTTGAGAGGCATAATTTGCTGAAAATTGTTTTAACAGAAATAGAAATTGTTTTTTATAAATTTCCACCGACGATAGCATTGGCTGCTCGGTCAATGAATGTCGAATGTTTCCTTATAAGGAAACGGTTAATATTACCATTTCACAGAGCAGGAACATCTACCATTTGAAGAGTGAAAAACATTTTGTTAAGATTGCGTTAACTCTAAATATAAACTTTACTCAAGGAATATAATGACCTGACTTTTAATCAGGATGCAAACTTCCTAAACTTTGAAACCAATAGAATCTCTTTTTGTCAATCATTTTCTCTGTTAGGATTTGATGGGAATCAGTGTAAAACTAATGTGTTTGAAGAATTCACCATTCTCACCTCAGAAAATAACGACCTCAGGCTGCTTAGATTTAACAGTGTAAAATCGCCTTTAATTGAACGAATATGGTAATTCATTCTTTAGATAATTGGAAATGGCCCGAAACATAGTTAAGTATTGTGTCTTTTCTTGAAAACAGTCTCTTTTCTAATGTCACCTCATTCGTAATCTAATGACGAAATCATGTTCCTAAGCAATAACTCACTAAGAGCTTAAAAATTGTTTAAAAAAACATTTACTTAATCAGACGATAATTTAAATTCTGAAAAAGTTGAGAAGTTGCTTCCGATTAAAGAAACGTTGTTAATTCTTTTTTTTTTTTTTTTTTAACGGAAACTACATCGTTTCTATGTTCTGTAAAAAGGATTTCATTTCATGATAACAATAAAAGCTAAAATCTTACAGCAGGGAAGTCGACCTAGTCTTTAGAAATATCGTCAGCACATTGTAGCGATAAGGAGCTATCAGATTTAAGTTCAACTCTGGATCTGATTCATGAACAAATATTTGTTCAGCATTTTTATTTTAATGAAATCTAAGATCTACAATGTGACTTTAATCAAAAAACATTAATCGTTTTAAAGGCGGGCCAAAACAGATAATCTTTCTCGGCGTATATAATCCTCAACGACGCATAAGATAACTTAGACATCCGGAAGAGGCATGGCATGTGGAACTGACCCAGTGGATAAAAACGTTGGTTATATCCAGTGACTAGTCCCAAAGAGTTGTGAGTTCAATACGAGGCTACAGCAGTAGTGAACCAAAAATCTTGGAGAGTTGAATTAAAGGGAAATAACTGAGACATTCGGAAGAGGCATGGCATGTGGAACTAGAACAATCTACTCTGGTGGACGAAATAAGCAGTTCAATTCGAAATTCCAATCACTTGAAGAAGGCCGAAGCGCACAACGGTCGAAAGATCGTGAATATATCAGTAAAGATGAGGACAACAGTCCAAACAATGTAAATAATGTAAACTATCTATGAAAATTTGTTAATATATCTCTACCTTGTTCCATTCCTCTCTAAGGTTTTTGTGGGTTTTTTTTTATCTGTCTTTTATCCAGTTGATAATAGCATTGGTTGGATCCAGTGACTTGACCCCAAAAGTTGTGAATTCAATACCTGGCTACTGCAGTAACGAACAAAAACGTGGAGAGTTGAGTTAAAGGGAGATAACTGGGACATCCGGAAGAGGCATGCCACCATGGAAATAGAACAATTTCCGTGGACAAGATAAAAGTTTCAGCTCGAAATTCCAATCCCCTGAAGAAGGCCGGAGCGTTCAACGGCCGAAACGTCGTGAACATGACAATAAAGATGAGAACAACAGTCCGAACAATGTAAATAATAATCTATCAACTTATTCGGGACTATCAGCATCAGTCAGTTATCAGTTATCTCCTGTTAATTCCCCTGATAACTGACATCCATTAAATAATGGCACGTGGAACTAGAACAGTCTACCCCAGCGAGCGAAATAAAGGGTTCAGTTCGACATTACAACCACCTGAAAAAGGCCGGAGCGTACAACGGCCGAAACGTTGTGATAAAAATGCTGACAAAGAAGAGGGCAATAGTCCGAATAATGTAAATAGTGTTCATTCACTTTCTCACCGACGTGGGGTGTCTGCTCTCTGTCTCTTCAACAAATCTTTTCATGGCACCTGCTTCGTGTTTTCTGATGGAAATTTATTATCATCATCTATTTTCAGGATTTTCACCCCTCTCTTTTATAGTTTTTATTCTTTTTTTCTCTTTTTTCCTTAGTTACCTTCTTCTTTTCTCTCGCTTTTTTCTCACTCTCTTTCTTTCTGTCTATCGCTTTTTCTGTTTATCTCTCTTTTCTGTCTATCGCTCGCTATCTCTTTCTTTTTCTCAATCTCTTTCACTCTGTTCTGACGAGCGTTTTATCTGGTGCCACGACTACATGAATTTAAACGTGCTACTCGATTGGCATCTAGGTCCCACCTTTTTATAATTGAAATATCTAAATGCAACCGCCACTTCTACGCCAGTAGTTTATTTTCTCGCAATTCTCGCCTGTGAAACTCCCTTCCGTTTAGTTGCTTCCTTGATAATTACAATCTTCAAGAATTTAAATGCGACGTCAATCGCAATTTTCTTGAATCACGATCATCTTTTGTCTTTTTCTCAATCCTCCCACCTTTCTCTCCCTTTCACTCCTTGTAAACTCTTTCGTACTAGTGACATTTCTACCTTGCTTGGGGTGAAATAATTTTTTAAAAAACTCGAAGAGAAAATAATCATATAATCGGGATGTTGATATTTTACACTAAATCAAATAAAAATGAAAAAAAAATCACCGGTTAATACTGGGAAAAGCCATAACAGCTACTGAGCTTGAAAAAAAACTATTTTCCTAAAAAATGTTTTAAGTAAAAGATTTTATAAATTTCAACCGAAAGCAGTAGTGGCTGCTCGGTCAATGAATGCCAAATTTTTCCATGTAGACAAAAGGCTATAATTATCATTACTATTTCCGCTGAGTCTAAATCTACCCGAACCGAACCAGAGATTGATCTCGCAATTCAGTTATGTGCCATGCGTGATACACGCTTAGGTGAACATGTGTCTTTCGATACATGACTGACGATTCAGATTTTTTCCCGCAGTAGGTCGCCATTTCTTTTCTACAGTAGACCAGTTGCTATCCAAGGCTATAGAACCCAGTCTGTCCTGCTATTTACCCATAGCTGGGTGGTGGGTAGAAGAGGATTCATACCTTTCCCAAAAGTCAGTCAGTTAGATACACGCTTAGGTGATCATGGATCTTTCGATACATGACTGAGGAGGCAATTTTTTCCCGCAGGAGGTCGCCATTTCATTCCTACAATAGATCAGTTGCCATCCAAGGCTATAGAATCCAGTCTGTCCTGCTATTTACCCATAGCTGGGTGAGTAGAAGAGGATTCATACCTTTCATAAAAGTTAGTTATGTGCCATGCGTGATACACGCTTAGGCGATCATGTATCTTTCGATACATGACTCACGAGTCAGATTTTTTCCCGCAGTAGGTTGCCATTTCTTTTCTACAGTAGACCACTTGCCATCCAATGCTATAGAACCCGGCCTGTCCTGCTATTTACCCATAACTGGCAGGAGAAGAAGAGGATTCATTACATTTCTCAATGGTATTAGCACGTAAGTGAATGTAATGGATCCGACTGGAATTCGAACTCGGCTCTCCGATTCCTCACTCCAAGCCGCTATCCATTACTCTACCGTGCCTCGCAATTACAAGTCATATCCCCAGTGAACCGTACGAGAACGATCTTATCGTGTACAACAAAGACAAGAACAATAGCCAGAGTGGAAAAATAATGCAAATTGCATTCATTATAACGCCCCAAACAAGGTGGGGAGCCACTAGCACGCAAAAGGGTTACAGAGAGTTGGAGCTAGAGCAAAGAGGAGTGATAGAGGAAAAGATGAAGAGAAGGATAGGGGATAGATCAAGGCATTTGGAGACGTCGATTGACATTACATTTGAATAGTTGGAGATTATAGCTATCAGGGAAACAGGAAAAAGGGTGGGAGTTTCACAGGCGAGAGGTGCGAGACATGAAGCTACTGGAGTAGAAGAGACGGCTACATTTAACAATTTCGACAGTGAAATGGTGTGAGCGAGATGCCAGCCTAGTTGAGCGCTTAAATTCATGAAGTCTGGAAACCAGCGAAAGCAGCTCGTCGGAGCAGTTACCATGGAAGTATTTGTAAAAAAGACAGAGGGAGGCGACGGGCCCATCTGTGAGAGAGCGACTGCAGACGAGATGCCAGATCAGGGCCAATTACATTGCATATCCGTCTCTGGATTTTATCAAGAACCTTGAGACAAACAAAAGGGACTCCAGACCATATATGGCAGCAATACTCCAGGCAAGGACAAATGGTTGATTTTTAGATTTGAAGGATCAACTCCGGCGAGAAAAATTTCCTAATTAAGGAAAAATGATTTTACTAGTATTTTTTTGAATTTATATTTAATTTTTCTCTCTATTTTCAACATTTATAAAATCTTGTTAATTACATTTCATGTTTTTTTTTTATTTTGCAGCATTTGCCTTCCGTCTGCGTGGAGGGGCCTCCAACTGGGGTCGAGTCGAGGTCCGCCACAAAGGAGTCTGGGGTCAAGTGTGCCGTGAACATTTTACAGATAATGAGGCTAAAGTAGCGTGTCGGTCAGCTGGATATAAAAATGGCGTCCACTACGGGACGGTGAAGGAGGGACACATCATTTACTGGCTAAAGGATCTGAAATGCAACGGGAATGAAACTAGACTAGACAAATGTAAGATCGATCGATGGGGTTCGCCCGTTTCTCTGGCAACCTGCACCCCAACATACGTCCTATGCTACAATGAGGGTAAGTGAGGAAAAAAAAAAAGAAATTTCATCGTTTTTAGAGATTTTATATTTTTAATGATATGTTCTTTAGCTTCTTTACTTTTCTCTCTTTCACTCACTGTCTCTCTTTGTCTCACTCTCTTTCACTCTTTCTCTCCCCAGTCACTCCCTCTCTCACCCACCTTCATTCTCTCTCTCCCTCACTCTCTCTTTTCACTCACTCCTTCTCTCTCCCTATCACTCTCTGTCTCACTCTCTCTCATTCTCTCTATCACTTACTCGCTTTCTCTATATATCTCACTCACTCTATCACTTTCGCTCACCCCCTCTTACTCTCATTCTCTCTATCACTCTCGTTCTCTCTTCAGTCACTCTCTCGCACTCAATCTCTCTCTCTCTCTCTATCACTCACTCACTTTCTTACTCCATCTCTCTCACTCTCTCTCGTTCAAACTCTCACTTTCTCTCTCTCTCTCGCTCACCCTCTCTTACTTTCATTCTCTCTCACACTCTTTCTCTTACTCTCTCTATCTATGACTCACTCACTTTCTTTCTCCCTCTCTTTCTCAAACTCTATCTCTCATACACTTTCTCACTCACACACTCTCTCTCTCTCTCTCTCTCTCTCTCTCTCTCTCTCGCTCACTATTATATGTGCATAAATCCACGAAATCGAATCATCCTTATATCCTACAGGGATAACGTCGCAAATATATTATTGTTTCCATACCAAATATTACATATTATTGTTTCCATGCCTCCACCAGTTCAGACCTTTCCAACTAAAACACGCCGTGCTATTTCTGCGGAGTCGAAACACCGTCATTTCCTCCCAAAAGGAGAAAGTTCTAATCAGATATCTTTTATCCAAGAACTACTACTTTGTGGAACATGGAGATTTCTCTGAAACTCCGAATGCTTTCGGCTAATCTATTCGCCATGAATTAATTAACTCAAAGCGTACGAACCTAAAGATCATCTGGACAGTTCTTAAACATGTCCAAACAAAAAAATATCTTGTAGCCATAAAAGAAAAATATAATAAACATCTTAATCGCAGTACCTTGTTAAGCATTTTCAATGACGTATTTATAAAAGAGTGGCTGCTACCGAAATATACAATATATATATGTGTGTGTGTGTGTGTGTGTGTGTGTGTGTGTTTGCGCTTGTAAATATATAGAAAAATAGAAAAGAACACGTTAGGTAAATAATCCGAAGTTCTTTAGTATTTTTTTTTATTTTTTTTTTAACAGTACTCCATACCTATGTAGAGCGTAAATTATAATTATTTTTTTTTTAAATATGATTCCTTCGCTACATAAGAGTTCTCATGTTTCAAAAACAAGAGCCAAAAACTTCAATATAATCCTCAACAAAATGCAGAAAGCACCAGACGGCCGTTTCGTCCTATTTTGGGACTCATCAGCAATCCCGAGAATCGAACACAGACCGATACGATATGTCACAAAAGTCATACCCACTGAACCAACGGGGCTGAATGACGATGAGGTAACTTACTTGTCTCGAAATAGTGTCGCTCTCATTAAATTCCGTGGTGTAACTCATCCAAATATACTTAACCCAACGGATTGTACCCACCAAGAGCCGCTGCCTTCAGTGCATAAGAAACCGGTTCGGGCATGGATATACAAGTGACAGAAATTTCTATGACTTGTATATGATTGCTTGAATAGGCTTCTAATGCTCTGGAAGGAGCGACTTGAGGAAAAATACCTGACTTTCTGCATTCGGTTGAGGATTCTTCTAGACTCGATGAATAACTTTAATATAATATATATATATATATATATATATATATATATATATATATATATATATATATATAATGAAATGGACAAATTCCGACAATTATTTTAAGAAATTTTTGTTTCTACATTCTTTTTATAGATACAAATATTTAAGTAAATGTTCTGTTTTATAATAATCAATATTAATGACATTTACCGGCCTGAATGTCCGAGAAATTTTCATAGAACAAACATTTTCTATGGAAATTTCTCAGACATGCAGGCTTTGGTAAATGTTATTAATACTGTTTATTATAAAACAAAACATTTGTATCTATAAAAAGAATGTATAGATATAAAAAATGTCTTATATATATATATATATATATATATATATATATATAGCCTGAAGATTTTGTTTACGCATGAAACAAACTCACACACAGACACACAGACACACACATACACACACACACACACATATATATATATATATATATATATATATATATATATATATATATATATATATATGTTCATGTGTTTGTGTCTTGTTTTGCGTACCCTTATTTGGATTATCTGTTGTAAGCGAAAATAGTAAAGAATTTTTTTCTCGGCAGAATTCACCACTTTTCCTGATTATCACAGCTCTTCTAAGAATTCTTTTTGTGTCATCAACGAAATTACAATTTTCATTCAATTTTTCTTTTTGGATATTTATAGTCACTCTGCAATTCTCATCTGTTGTTGAAACCTCGTGATTTCTCATGTGAATATAATTTGGTGGCCACAGCTTCTCATTTCCTGAATTCGCACTGATGAAAACGTATTACCGTCATCTATTTTCAGGGTTTTCACCAATCTTTATCATAGTTTCTTTCCTTTGGCTTAGTTCCCTTCTTTTCTCTCGCTTTTTTTTCTCACTCTATCTCTTTCTCTCTCTCTTTTTTCTCTATCACTCTTCCTCTCTGATTCTTTCTTTCTCTCTCTATTTCCTTTCTTTCTTTCTCTCTTTCTCTTACTTTCAACCTTTCTTTCTCTTTTTCTCATACCGTCTTTCTTTCTTTCTTTCTCTCCCTCTCTATCTATTACTCTTTCTCTATCTCTCGCTTTCTCTTTTTACCTCTTTACCCCCTCTCTTCTTCTTCCTCTCTCTCTCTCTCTCTCTCTCTCTCTCTCTCTGAATCTTTTTAAATCAGTGGGCTAGACGAAGTCGGGTGCAATATCATGAGTTTTAAAAGAAGCGTAATGATCCTATCTCTTTCTTTCTCTCTTTTTTCTGTCTCTCTCTCTCTCTCTTTCTGTTTTTCTATTACTGTCTCTTTCTTTCTCCCTCTCTATCTATTACTCTTTCTTTATCTCTCTCTTTTTATCTCTTCACCCCTCTTCTTCCTCGTAACCTCTTTAAAGCAGTGAGCCAGACAAAGTCTTAGAAAAAAAGAGTAATGATTAACAGCTAAGGATCAAATCCAGGTTTCAAGCCATAATTACGAATGCTGATTTTCAAAGGAAATATTTTCTTCATTTGAAAGAGTTTTGCAATAATCTTTTTGATCACAAATCTTCTCTCTGATTTGAGGAGTTATTATTTACATGCGGACGATTCTCCTTATCTTTGCTGTTGTTATCACAACAATTGTACTCTCTGGTCTTCATCATTGCATATCAATCCGAATAAGCTAATAGAATTTCAAACTCTGTGTCTGTGTGTGCCTGTGTGTGTCTGTGTGTGTCTGTGTATGTGTTTGTGTTTGTGTGTGTGTGTCCGTGCCCAAACAGGTTTTGCTAAATTCAGCCGACAAGGTCTTTCTTCATGAAGAACTCGCTGTGAAGACGGTCAAACGTAGTTTAGTACAATAGGATAAAACATGAACTTCAAACAGTTTATCCACAATTTTGATCCTGATGTACAGCATCTTTATTCGGAAAGTAAAAAAAAGTAAAAAAAAATCGGTTGAACTGAACAAAAATTGTACGGATATGACTCTTTCTGCATAAATACTTTTTAGTTAAGTTCACCTAATAAAAAAAAACAGCTGAGCCACGCAAAGTAGGTGGTCGCTCAGTGAGGTGTGTGATATTAATATAAGGGATGTGGTAAGGTAGAAAGTGAAGATAAATAGATGACAACTGAACCTTGACTTGAGAAATTAAGTTTGTAGTATTCCGGAAATAATGACGGCAGGAGTATGTTCCACAAAGTAGCTGTTCTTGGGAAAAATGTCGGAGTGGAACTTCCTCCCTACAATTGGAATACGGAGAAAATGAGAGCGTAGTATGTCGTGTCCAAACCGTAAAGGCCGGAATTGGTGTATCTAAAGAATGGAACGCTCATCTGAACATTTTCGATGAAAATAGGAATAGATTAGTCAGTCTTGCGACGGTTCGTCTATGAAAAAAAAAAAGCTGTAGAATGGAGAATAATTCACCCTACCCCCACTAGAGTGCAAAAACTATTTTGAACTCTGCCAAATTTGGAAAGTGAGGATTAAGCCCCACCAGCCCAGCTATAGCAGCAATGAGCCATCTTCTGTTTGTCTAATTAATCTATCCAGTCATTAGAAAAATTTAAGTCATTCACCTGTAAAAAGGTAATCTTCGTTTTATTTTGTTTTTATGTAATACCTTATATCGTATCAGATTGAATGATACAGTAGTTGTTTGTTATTGCAGCAGCCATTATTTATACATGAATTGTCGTCAAAAGATTTTTGTCATTGCCAAATTAATAGCTATTGTGACAGTATCTGTGTAATGTTTTGTTTTGTTTGGTTTGGTTTGTTTTACGGTATATCAACCATTTAATGCCGGAATTTAATATTTTTCTACATAAAATCTTGTATCTAAACAGTGGAAAAATGGTTTATTTGACATAGTAGGACTGCGGTTAATTATTGTTATATTTTTTTCTTTTAATTATATTTTTGAAATCATTTTAATTTCTTTTAGAAACTGGAATATGTAAAATGAATCAGTATTTTAAAAAAAAAGTTCTTTTAAGTTACTTGTTTGGTAGCATTTCAAGCTTGAATTAAAATGGCCGTAGTTTATCAGTATGTATTTTATGTTGAATAACTCTTGGCATGTCACACATATGGGAGGATCTTCCTTTTTTTAGGATATACGTATGGTTTATTGTGGTATGTCTAATATGGCGCCTGGACATAATCCCTTTTTTTCTTCTAAATAGTTTGGCGTGTCTGATGACATTCTCTTTCAGTTGGTTTAATTTTTAACAATTTATTATTTGAGCAGGAGGCCGTGTAGTGGTAGTCTTCTATCAGAATGTGATTAAATATGTATAACGAGTCTTGAAAAAGTTCTTTTAAATTTCTTGTTTGGTAGTATTTTAAGCGGGTTGAATTAAAATTGCTGCAGTTTATCAATATGTGTTTTATGGTGAATGGGACTTGACATGACACACACACCGGAGGATCTTCCTTTTTTAGGATATACGAATGGGTTATGGTAATATGTTCAACATGGACTCTGGGCATAATCACTTCTTCTCTTCTAGTTTGCGATTTCAGATGCCATTCTCATAGAGTTGGTTTGATTTTGAACAGTTTATTTTTTTGGTCAGGATTTCCATAGATTCTGCCACTCATCTATAATCATTTCACTGTAAATAGGTACTGCTTGTCACCTTACTAAATAAAAATATATTGCTGGTATTGAAGCTTTATAGAAAATTATCCCACCAAATAAACTTCAAGAACCGAAACACTGACAGCGGCTGTTAAAGACTGAACAAAAGAAACCTCGGCTGACTTCTGTAAGAACTTGATCCTCAGAATGCCCCCAGTGATCAAAGCAGTCTTTAAAAATTAAAGGAGGCCATACAAGTTACTGACCGCTCGATTATTTGGTTTGAAATTAATAAAATCATTACAAATCCGTGGGTAAAATTGAGACAACCTTTTATCAATTATTTGTTACTGTGTTGTTTTTAACTCTAAGATATTACATTTGCTAATGACTGTATATATACAGAAAAAGAGTAAAAAAGAGAGACACATGAACAGAAAGAAAAAAATGCATGAACATGCAAAAACAGTTTTTCTGACATCTACTGACTGGATTGCGTCATCTAAGTATCTTGACCGATTTTATAAATCTATTCATCATATTTATTCAATTAGACACGCCCTCTCTGATGTCCCAGGGGTGCAAGAATTCCCTTAACAAGAAAGACGTTTGCATATTCAAACAAAACAAAACAGTTTCGATTTCGTTTGATTCTCTTCCTGAAACCTCCCAGACCAGCCGAGAAAAGAGGATTCCACAACATGGCCGTTTGGGGAAAGACTGAGCAAAATTTAATAGTCTTCTAAATGACAAAAAATATATTTCGCCTTAAAAAAAAAAAAAATCATTCTATAAAAACTGCAATCATTTAAAAATAACTGATAATTTTTTAACAAGTTAACCGCCTAAACAAAATCTAATCGTCTTACAAACTCTAACAAAATTGTAATCGTCTTTAAAAAATAATTATAAATATCCTTTAAAAATTACAATGTTTTTTTAAATCATTTAACTCTAAGCAAGGCGATAATGCTATTAAGACGCAAGAGGTTACTAGGAGTGGAAGAGAATGAAAAGACTTTAACGAAGAGAAAGGACAATAAAAGAACAGGGGCCAGGAAGACAAAAGATGGCGATTGACGTTTCATTTATATTTTTGTAAAACGTAGAAAGCAGAAAAGCAAGAAACCGGAAGCGATAAGTGTGAGGAAGGAACCCTTAGAATAGAACTTACGGCTGTATTTAGTGATTTCAACAGCAAGACGATGAGACGGAGTTGCCAATCTAGTAGTACATTTAAATTCACGACGTCATCAGATAGCTCATTAGAACATCTGCCATGAATCTATTTATAGAAAAGACAGAGGAAAGCCATATCACATCGGTGGGAATCTGCCTGACGTAGAGAGACACTTCTTGGGATTTTCCCGAGAATCTCGCAGCAACAAACGATGCACGGACTAAAGGTAGATTTACAAATATGCAAGATGGATTCTGGCGTGAAAATCTGCTTTAAAATTACTGTAATCGTCTTAAAAATTGGTAATCGCCATTTACAAAACTGTAAATATCTTTTAAAAAAATTGTAAACGTTGTAATGTAATCGTCTTTTAAAAATGAAATCGCCATTTAAAAATGGAATCGTGTTTAACAAGAAATAAAATACAAACTACAAAATATCTAGTGAATAAAATTGAATACAAAAACAAATATTCAGTTCTGTAGATTAGAAATGCTTCCAGTTCTGTTATCTTTAGTCGATATCCAGAAATAAAATTCGAACTGAATTTTACTAATCTCCCTTCAGCTAACTATGAGTCAATATTTAACATCAATTTTAACAAATTCTAAAAACAATAAAACTAACGTCGACATTTTAAAGGTTAAAGATATTTTTCCTTCACGCATCTTCGAAAAAGAATATCGGTGCTAGTATAGTATAATATCTACCATTCATTTTCTACTATAGTAAGATATCTACTTTTGATTTTCTACTATGGTATATTTACCAACTGTTGGAAGTATGAAATACGTTAGGGTTAGGGTTAAAAGCAGTGAACAGTGAACTGGTTTATGTCTATATCTCTGAGATGAGGTATTATGATTACTTGCATTAGTTATATTATTAGGACTGTTATCCTCATCTTCACTGCCATATTCACAACGTTTCGGCCTCTATATCTCTGAGATGAGGTATTATGATTACTTGCATTATTTACATTAATCGGACTGTTATCCTCATCTTCACTGCCATATTCACAACGTTTCGACCGTTGTATGCTCCGGCCTTCTTCAGGTGATTGGAATTTCGAACCGGACCCTTTATTTCGATCACCAACCTAAATTGTTCTAGTTCCACGTGCCATGCCTCTTCCGGGTGTCTCAGTAATTTCCCTTTAACTTAACTCTCCAAGTTTTTGGTTCATCGCTGCTGTGGCAAGGTATTGAACTCACAACTCCTTTGATTTGCTCACTTGATCTAACCAACATCTTTATCCACTGATATTGAGACAGAGAAAAAATTCCTAACTTTATCCAGGTTCATATTATTTTCCACTACATCTCCCCCCATCACTTCCGGTGTCGAATGAAGGCATTTAATTTCTTGCATTGCCTCTGACTGATTCACTCAACAAACCACCTGTAGAGACCTTTT